TGCCTTGCTCTGGCCTTTTATTGGAATCTAAACAATTGGCTAACTTACTTTGAATGGCTTTCTGGAGTCAGTGCCATTTGTTATTTCTGTAGCATTTGGCATTTTGGCTCAATACTATTGTTAGCTTTGTGATTATATTTTTWAAAATTTGCAAAATTGTTCTAAACAGTTATTGGCACATTTGCAACACTGCACAGCATTAGTTTTAATTTATATAGCTTGAATTTTTTAATATTTATTTGGTTTACACAGCACTCGATGCAATACTGACAATAATTATTACTTTGTGCAAACTGCGCTCAAAATGTTTTTTGTTCAGCTTTTCATTTATAATTCAAGCGTAGTTCCAAGCTTTACGTGCACTTAGCAGAAGCGCGAGCAACCGCCGGTTTCAACTGAACTCTCTTTAACTACGACACTGGCTTTTATAGTCGCACAGCAGAAGAGAACAAAAAGCAGCCAGTAGCAGAGGACAGTGCTGTCCACCCTAAAAGCGGATGAGTTATTTTCAAGCTGATAAGTTGTATGAAATTTTTCGTTTTAGTATTGAAAAACTACAGCTAATAATAAAGAATTATATTTCATTTGTACAGAGTTATACTAAATATTATTTGGTACATTTATTCAATTCTAGCTTGGAGTTTGCAGCTAAATCAGCTAAATGTGGCCTGCAAATTGTAGCTTCTCTCAGCACTGTTGTTTTCTTACAAAGAGTACAGAGCACAACGCAAATAAGAGCTTACAAAAGAGCGTGCAAATTGTAAAACTGTGCCTTGCTCTTTGGCTAGTCCTTTAGCAGCCCACTGTTAAGTGGCAGACAGGTGCTCAATGAAACTTGCTAGAAATTTGTCGAAAGAATTTATGATAAGACTAAAGCCAAAAAATTATTTTAAAAAACATATTTTCAAAACTACCTACTAAGTTATATTGATAAAGATCAGCTATTCAAAATGCCAACAAACTTGATGGCAGTCAATGTCATTGGGGGGCAACTCTTTACTCGAGTCAAGTTAAACAACAGTTAAGCAACGCTTAACTTTGCCTTAACCGGCCAACACCCATTTAAATCTATGATGTTAACAACTGTGTGTGTGTGTGTGTTTATATGTGTGAATCAAAAGTAAACTTTTTGACAAATAGCCAAAAGGCATGAATGCGATGCCCAGCCCATGTCCTGGCCCCATACCCAGCCGGAAGGTAGCCAGTTGGTTGAGCAGTCTTATCGTTATTGTGCCCCATTGGATACGAACTGTTTGCCTTTGCCCCGTTTGCTGTCATTGCACTTGCAACAGCAGGCAGTGGCAGAGACATGGGCTGGGGCAGGGGCAGGGGCAGCAGCAGCTGAGGGTGGGTGGGCGTTAGCTATTTTGAGCTCAAGTGACTTGAAATGACATACAAGGACATTGCCTTATAGGTGTTGCCAGTTGCCGAGTCACGTGCGTGCCGGTGCATTGACCCACAAAGCCAGCAAACTTGGCCAAAATGTCATGATGAATAGCCTCAAGTCGCAGCAGCTACTCAAAGTTAANGCCTTGATTTGTTTATTTTCCTATGCTAATTGATAATCAACAAGTTCGGGTGTGGGAACGGAAGCCCATGGACATTAAATACCCTGTAATTAAATTCAATTAAAACTAGGGTATTTCAGGTGTTCAGGTTTTTATCTCATAATTAAGAATATATTGATATCATTTATAATCAATCATTTATCAAAAATATGAAAGTGAAAATCTCAATGCCCCAAWTCATTTTCCAAAACACTTTGCCTAATCCCCATTTACGTGGAATTGTCAAAGACAACGGCCCATTCAACACGCCCCCACGCGCCCAAGCGCGCTGACTGGCCATAACTTTTGTGTTTACACAAAGGGCGCACAAACGAAAACAAGGTTAATCAGCAATTTGATAAGCCTGGCCCGCTATAAAAGATGCAATTAAGCAGGAAACTTAAGCCGTCTTTAGCTAGCCTTCGAAATAACAGCGCACTCGAGGAGCTGCTCTCTTAGCTAACATTTGTGAGCATTGCCCCTCACTGTTAATGAGGCAGCTCGTGCTATGTTAGTTAACAGTTGATGTGAAGCTTTTCGCCCGCCTCTTTTGGCACTTCACTTTGACATTCGCTGGAAACTTCATGAATATGTTAAAATTTACGCAAATGCTGTGAAAGTGAGGCTGAGTTGGGCGTGGCTGTCGGCGTAGCTAAATGGGAATTTAAAAGCAGACGTTGCCAAGTTTTAGGCCATAACATTTATCACGGCGCCGTTTTGGGTAATGGCARGCAGGGCTCATTGAATGGATATGGATGAGCGGGTCACGTAGGCCACGACCCCTCGTTCATTGAACTTAACGCACAGAGCTTAGGATTACAAACATAAACATACAATTTATTCCACTTGTCTTC